CACATGGCGCCTCTTCATCCCGGCTGCCTTTGCTGGGGCTTTACAGGCAGAGACCCCACAGTCTGCTTTGGTAAGTCGGCTGTCTTCGTTGAGACTATCACTACAAATATAAATGCTTTATGATGGCAAGATTGCCTCAAAGGTATGCAGAGCAGTTGCCGTGGGCAACGCAGAAACTGATCTCCTGAACAGAAATGAATGGTTGGAATTAAACTTTTCAGGTTATGTGTGAGGAACGATTGTCAAGCTCTTGTCTCCTCACCAAGACCGGGCTTGTGTGAGTGCCGGCTGCCCTGATCTGGGTCTGCGAAGGTCTCAGGAGAGGGTAATCTCGCTTTGATTCTGGAAGCATGTGTTTTTTCCATTTTCCAACGCATGATTTGTCAGTGGTTAAGGGGTTTCCGCACCCCACTATATTTGGCGCTCTGGCCACGTTGCTTCAGGATGCCATGCCCTACAAATGGGAAGTGCTGAGGAGCAGTCAGATACTTGTTGGGATAATCAACTGATATGAATCAATGTTTCTCTTTCCCCTCTCTGTCGCTACTCATCTTTATTAACTCAAGACAGGCAGTTAGTATCCCCTCAACCCTCTGTTTTTGTGAGAGTGCGTTATGCGCACTGGCGGCTGTGTAGCTGCCGGCTGACTGGCCACCCGCTTTGCTGTCCTTCTGGCCTCCTCTGGAGAAGTAGCTCAGTAAGGTGCGTGTTGTGAGCGGGCCAGCAGGCAAGGGGCACTGCCCAGGACGGGCATCTCCTCCGCGTGTGCCCCTCACACCGGCATTCCCTTTGCGGGAACTTGGCATTGCCACCTTATAGAACCAAGCACTTGTCCAGAACAAGGGCCTATGTGTATTTTACAAAATCCAACCTTCACCAGCCTGGTTCAGCTCTCTTGCTACCCCGTGTGCGTGCCCGCAGCCCCTAAGTGCTGACGCTGCAGCGCCCTCTCGTGTTGCCATGACTCGGGCTCTCAGAGCGTTTTTCTTCCCATTCAGAAAATGTAGACAGTAGAGAATCTGCCAAAATTGGCGGCATTTTAAATAGGTTTTCCCATATCTAGTCAAAACACATATGAGGTGTTTTTTCTGCCCCATTAAAAATAGGAATCTTACATGAAGATTTAGGGCCATTCCAGCTCCAGCTTTTTTTCCTATTTCAAAAATTTGGGAAGCCCAAGAGTCCATCATTCTCAGGGAATGGAAGAGCCCTCCAATTCAAGCCAGCCACCCTTTATAAGGAAAAAATGTGAATACATTTCAAGAAAGAGAAATGAGAAGGGGAAACCAAGAAGTTGCTTTGATTCCTACTAGAGAAAATAACTGGGTAAGGGAAGAAGAGAAAAGTCATCTGGGGGAAGAACCCCGTCCATTTATTCTGGGAAGAGTGGCTTGTTTTCTGAAATAACTTCTGGACTAGAAATTTATCATCTGAAGTCAGGTCATTTTGAGTTTTTTTAAGAACCATAGTACTCAAGTTATTAATATTTGAAAAACGGCTACAATGTGGCACATAGAATAATATAATACTGCTGCCTAAACTAACATCATCATAGACTCCATAATAAAGATTTATGAGATACCCATTCTATGAGATACCCTATTAGGGAAATCTCCATAGGTCTGTGTTTGGGTTGTAACTGTTTTCATGGTCATGAACCAATTAAAAGCCATAGTGTTTTGTTTCCCTATTTCACACTTGAGTCTACTCCCTTTTTCCTTTGTCCTTAAAACTAGAGCTTATTTTTCAACTTGTCTACATATTGTGAGATAAAGAGATAAGGATGTGCCAGCTACTTAAATTGGCTCTCTAAGCGGGCTGTTTCAGAGCACCCGAAAGGGCTGAACAATTTATCATTTCTTCTTCGCAAATCACTTTGAACCTTTATCTCAAGTTGATCTGTGAAGCTTAACATAAATTTTTGTTGTAGTATTGTTGTAGTATCCATGTTCTCATCTACTCACAAAGCTCTGGGGGATCTCACAAAAGTGTGTGTGTGTGTGTGTGTGTGTGTGTGTGTGTGTGTGTGTGTAGTCACTATTAGAATATTCTCAGCTTCTAATGCCAAACCACAAGGTCACAAGTGTTTTTCAGTGCATTTGGCATAATGAAAACTATAGGTTGGCCTTAGATCAGAACATAACGCTGGTCTTGGATGTTTGCCGGGGCCAACCCTGGCATGGAGGTACTGAACTGTAGCAGCCCTCTTTAGCCGCCTTCTACCAAATCCGTGGCCAGAGAGCCTCACTGCTGGGCAAGTGGCTCTCCAGACTCAAAAGAAAGATGCATTGTTCAGTTCTGTTCTTTTTGTTTGAAACAATAGAAGGATTCCATAATATTCCACCATTTTAGTATTTTCAAATTGTTCATTGTTTTAGTCATTACCAGTGTTACATTTGCACAGCTGTGAGATTTACAGACAGACTCTGCATGCCTGATCTTACCCGATCCTCAACGACTGCATGGGCCAGCAGGCTTCTGTGTATTGTCTCCTTTATTAGGGGAGACTGAGACTCAGAGAAAGTAAGTGAAATACCCGAGGATACGCGGTCAGTGGCAAGGCAAATCCCAGGCCTCCCAGGTCCTTGGAGAATGTCATTTCAATAATATGACAGCTAGAGTTTAGCTATACAGTCTCATTCAGCCAAATTCTGTGGCATTTGATTGTCTTTTCAAAGACTGAGGAGTTGGGACCTTTGAACTTTCATTCCAGCAGGCAATGTGATATTGAGCAAATTATTAAAATTGGAAATGGGATTAACAGTACCATGTCCTAGGTCCAACTCCTATACATTAAAATGATGATGTGTAGGATTTTTAAATACCTGGTGGCACATAAATATGAAATATTGCCAAAAGTACAGTATAGGAAGAATTCATGTTGTGATTGATGAGTATGTAGAATTATATATTACACTGCACAGGCTGAGACTTTGAGAGCTTTCCAAAGATAATATTTTCTGAAAACATATGTTTCAGCTGAACTCAGCCTGGGGTTATCTCTGTTTCAAGACCAGAAGTTTGCTTAAAGATCAGAAATGCTTAGTGTGCTGTCAGACTCATTAGATAGGCAGTAGAAGATTTAAGGAGACTCATTTTCGGATCTCACACACACACACACAAACACACAATTCTGTGGCGCGATCACCGGCATCAGGTCTCTAACTGTAATAAATATGCACAAGGACAATCAATGAGAAAGGGAGGCTTCTCTCTCCTGAAACTCCTTTGCCTTTGGTCTTTTATTTTATTTTTTCTTTCAAATAGCTATTAAATTACCTGGCCAACAGTACGTCACTCTCCTGACCAGTGGTACAAAACAAGGTATCCTGGCCTACTTTATGAGCCATTTATTGAGCTTCTGTGTAAGTCTGGAAATCAGAGCATACTGCCTCTCAGAACTGGGGACCCACCAGCACTGTCCAAAGAAAACAGACATTCTCTTTAAATGAAAATCATAAGAAAATCCTTTTAAATTTTGCTTCTTTTCTGTATTTTTGCAATGAAGAGGCACTATAAACACTACAGAACTGTTGCTGGGAGGCTTTGATTTCTGTGAAATAACGTCAGTGTATGAACCCGTCAAGACTAGAAATATAATAGTTGTTTTAGCATGTAGAGCTCTAAGCTAATGTATGACAAAAACGTCTTCCTTGATCCATAACCAATTAATGAAGTTCTTGTTAAAAGGCCTTATTGCCTGAGTATCGGACCTTAAATGAGCCCTGTTAATAGAAAGCATGAAACACATGGTCCTCCATTAAAAATGTTGGCTTTGCTCTGACCAGGTCATGCCAGTGATTCTCTCAAACTTTTATTTCTACGCTGTCAGTGAACCCTGGGTGCCTGAGTTGTGGCCATCACAATGCCATCAAAAGTTAGGAAAACCCACAGTTTACCTGGCCAGTTGTATGTCACTCTCCTGACCAGTGGTGAAACAGGGTCTCCTGGCCTACTTCATGAGCCATTTCTTGAGCTTCTGTGTAAGTCCGGACTGTAAACCTCCACTGAAAGTAGGTGAAAAAGTATTTTCTGTTCTGCTCTCTAGATGAGGTGCAGGGTACAGTGAAGGAGCGAGCTTTGGTGTTAGGCAGACTGAGGTTTGCAAACTGGTAGTCCTGGGTGTTTTGTTTTTTGTTTTAATTCTTAGATCCCTGGCTGCTCTGGACATAATACACGTAAAGTACTAAGCTCATGGACAGCCGCGAGGAATGACCACTGCCGCTGCTATTGTCGCACAGGGCTACGAAGAACCTTTCTGAAGGCTCGACTATAAACCCATTTGTTCCTAACCTGTCGTCTTTCCGTTCATCCTCCTTTATGTATCATAAGCCTAGTCAGGAGAGTACGTTTCACATTGTGTTATTTGCTCTCTTCTTTCAGATCTGTAAGAGCAAAGCAGAAGAATCTCAGCAGTATTACCACAGCTTGGCTATCCGGCAGAGTCTGGCTGTCCATTTTAACATCCAGCAGGACTGCGGTCACTTCCTTGCCGAAGTGCCCGGCCGTCTGCTGCCCTGGGAGGACCCTGGCACCGCCGAGGAGGAGGAGGAGGTGGAGGGAGAAGTGGGCGGGAAGGGCCCGGGGCCCCGGCCTGAAGCAGAGCCGCCCCGGAGGGAGGGCCAGGGGGCCGCCGGCAGGAGGCGGAGAAGCCACGTCGTGGTCATCACCAGGGAGGTTCCCTGTCTCACTGTGGCCGATTTTGTGCGAGACTCTCTGGCCCAGCATGGAAAAAGCCCCGACTGGTATGAGAGGCAGGTGTGTCTGCTGCTCCTGCAGCTGTGCTCCGGCCTCGAGCACCTGAAGCCCCACCACGTCACTCACTGCGACCTTCGCCCGGAGAACCTGCTGCTCGTCCGCCACCAGCCTGGGGGGCCCGCAGAGCCCACCCCCACCTCGTCCCGTCCCCCCAGACTCCTCGTAAGCAACTTCTCTCAGGCCAAGCAGAAGAGCCACCTGGTGGACCCTGCGGCCCTCCGGGACCGGTCCCGCCTCGCCCCGGAGATCCTGACGGCCACCCAGTACAAGAAGTGTGACGAGTTCCAGACAGGCATCCTCGTCTACGAGATGCTGCACCTGCCCAACCCCTTCGACGAGAACCCGGGGCTCAAGGACAAGGAGTACACGCGGGCAGACCTGCCTCGCATCCCGCTCCGCTCCCCCTACTCCTGGGGCCTGCAGCGGCTGGCCAGCTGCCTCCTGAACCCCAACCCCTCCGAGCGGATCCTCATCTCGGACGCCAGAGGCATCCTCCAGTGCCTGCTCTGGGGCCCCCGGGAAGACCTCTTCCAGACTCTCGCTGCCTCCCCCAGCCCGGTCCAGAGAAGCACCCTGCTCCAAAACTGGCTAGACATCAAGCGAACGCTGCTGCTGATCAAGTTCGCCGAGAAGTCCCTGGACAGCGAGAGTGGCGTCCGCCTCGAGGACTGGCTCTGTGCCCAGTATTTGGCTTTTGCCACTCCAGACTCCCTCAGCTGTGTTGTGAAAATCCTGCAACACTGTTAATGTACCCTAGTTGCTGCTTTTTCTTCCCCTTCTTCAAGTTTCCCACGCACTTCCCCTCCCATCACTCACACAGAATTCAAGGGAAGAAGAGAGACAAACCCTCCATCCCGTCCATGAACAAATGAGTCAGAGGTTATCCACCACTCCAAATTGAGTGAGAAGCTTAGTCCGTCTTAACTTTACAGGAATTCAACTGCACAAACATGCATTTGCCTTCCATTGGAGCACCTCATACCCTGATTGTCCCACAAATGCAGGTAAAAAATGAAAGTACATATCCTTGAAGGGACAGCTCCTTTGGTATAAACTCAATGAGCTATGTCCTATTCCTCCGTAATTCTGAACATCATATGTCTTTTTAACACCAAGTGTATTCTCACTAGCAATAGACAGCTTTAACCAACCCTTGCCATCATCCATTAAGCTCTCACAACAGATTTTCTTTCTTTAAAATACCAATAAGAGACTCTCTTACCAGGCGGAACTGCCTTCCTTAGCATCAGCCTAGTTTTGGTTCTGGGGACTATGTATCCTTTGTTCCAGTGGGTAGTGGAAAGATGAAGAGGTCCCATCCTTTGGGTCATGGCCCCATTTCCATTCCTGTTATCGGTAAGTGGGTGTTCTGCATGGAGGGTCGCCCTCGCAGTCTCCCCTCAGCTGCCACTGTCATTCTCCTTCACCTCTACTCTGCCCCCGCTTGCGGGTGGAGTTTGGGTTCACTGACCACACGTGCCCCATTACAGAGCTGTCCCATGGTGGTGTCGCAAATGCCTCGGCAGGGTGGGGCACAGTTCAGATCCTGTAAATAGCTGGCAGGACACAAGGAGATGATTTTCCTGCATGCGCGATTCTTTCGGGGCCAGCAGGGGAACAGTTTAAAGGACCATTCTTTGATTACCGTCAGAGCTGTCAGTGTTGACAGCCCGGGCTGGCGGTGCCCAGATCAGAGTTTTCCCCTGAGCAGTAATCGGCCCGCTGTCTTCCATCAGTAGCCAGTGCTAACTAGCCTACCAAAATGCTATAGATAACAGCCCTGGATGAACTGGCTGTCCATTGAGCTCTTAAGATCTCTCAGAGGGCATGGCACAGCTGGCTATTAGGATGTCCAGAAGGCTGGCGAGGGGGAGAAGGCCAGTGATGAGGCTGCTGACCTCCTCCCCAGGATACTGACCTCTTCTGGAGGCTGCTTCCTGGTTGCACTGCTACATTGCTCCTTATGACTCTGAAATGGCTCTGAAGGACAGCTGACAGGGAATTTTGACTGCTGAGGTGGGTGGTTGAGAGCTGTTCATCATTCGTGGGGTCTGCGCTCCATGCCTATGGATATATGTGCACTTTTTGTATGTATTCTTAGCTGTATATTACAGTGTTTATGTTGCAACTTCACCTGAAGCAAGATCGACAGAAGTCCTCTCCTTCCCTCAGCACATTTTGGCTAAGAGACAAGTGTTCCTTCCACTGAGGGTTGGGGAGATTGTGTGTGTGTGTGTGTGTGTGTGTGTGTGTGTGTGCACGTGCACAAACGTGAGCACATGCGTGCTTGTTTTATTCAAAACTGTGAGTATCTGTTTACTTCAACCTTAAGTCCCAAGAGTCACTCAGACAGTGTGATTGTTGTGTACACGTGTGTGCCCATGTGTGTGCACATGCACGCTGAAAGCAGAGGTCAGGCCTCTCGGGGAGCAACCTGTGGCAGGTTCGATAGACATGTTCTCTGCACCTAGTTGGTGAAGGAGCCCTGGGGCCCTTCATCTACCAGGACAGAGTTTCTTAAAGCCAAGACTGAATGTACAGTATTACTTAGCACATTAGTGGCCTTTTGGATATTTCTAAACTTTTGACATTTTAGCGGCCTTTCATGTGATTCACCTATATCAAAGAGGGTCAAGAAAGGAGAAGAATGTATTTTGTTGTGCTTTTCTTTCTTTTTTTTTTTTTAAGAGAATGGTCATGTGAGGCTCCATGTGGAGCATGTCCCTGCTGTGGCCGGCAGGACGGGACTCCCAGGAAGAGAGCTGGTCGGCCCCAGCAAGCCTTGCCTTCTCTAGCCGAGTATGGCCGCAGAATGGGTGTGCCGCTGCAGGCCAGCAGTCCGCTCTCCCCATGGCCTGCGGCTTGGCCGCACCTTGCCTAGCACACTGGCGTCTGGTTCATCTTAGCATAGCCCATGTGCGCATAGCTCCTTGCCCGATCGCACACTGAGGCAGCAGCTCACGGGCGCGGGCCACGTCAGCTGGCACGCTCCTGAGAGGCCCTCCCCGCCAGCTGCGTGCTGAGACACTCTCGCAGTGCCTTCCCCATGCAAGTTTGAACGTTGATTATTTAATGAAGAATGTTCCCTAGTCCTTCTACTTGTTTTCTAGGTATCCTTTCTTTTTCTTTTCCTTTTTTTCTGTCTTGACTTGGATCCGGTCTTCTAACTCTTAAAGCATTATAAACATGGACACCCTCCACTACTCTTACAGCACTGGTAAGCCGCGCGCCTCTTCTCATCAGATTTGTTTAGTACTGTTTTTGTATTCGATTTGTTAGGGGCAAAAGATGAATGCGAACTCATTCGAGAAGGGCCTCAGGCTTCCCGGAGACAGGTGGCCAAGGAATGTGAGCTGGGGAGAGAGGAGCGTGTTACAGGTTAGAGCAGAAAAGATGAAATAACTATTTCTAGACAAGAAGTACTACATCAGATGGTCTGCAGAATGTTTTCCCAAAATAATGAAATTTAGGCAATCTAATATTATCATAATCTTTTTTACATTTCCTTTTTTAATTATAGTAGGAACTTTGAATTCATTCGTCAACTGGAAAGAACCCTATCCTCAGACACAGATAGACAGACATGTATATATGTTTTGGTTTGTGACTAATAGAGCACTTTAAGTTTTCTCAAGCAATACAGAGTTATTATCTTCAAAATTGATTGGAAATGCTTTCACTGAGGTCTGTACTATACAGAGTCTTCCCTTTATATTGAGACTTTGAACAATTAAATCACTATTGGGACTTTTCCTTAAGCCACCTGAGCAAGAACAATCTGTCGGCCACATTTCGGCGCTAGAGCACCAGGACGGCAGCTGGAGTGGCCGAGACCGCGCCTGGATGTACAGCAGGGCGCCTTGTTCGAGTGAGAGCCCAGGCTTGGAAGGCAGAGGGTCAGGGTTCCACAGGCAGGACTGGAGCTTTGAGAGGGCCCCGCGCCAGCGTGAGCAGAGCCGCTCTGGCGTGTGTGCGCTCCTACGGTGCACAGAAGCCAGTTCAGGACGAACAGCGGCAGGAAGAAGGCGAGCAGGTGGAGCAGGGGGAAGCTGTGGACCCCGCAACGAGAGAATCGTGAATCAGGCCCACAAGTCACTAGGTCAAGGTAGAATTGGGAGCCAGACAGATGGCAGTGGGTTTCAAGGTTCGCCCTCGGAAGATGAAGCAGGTAAGGCAGAGGGCGTGGCACAGCACCCACACTGCAGGTGTGGGCCGAGAAAGATAAAGCATCTGGTAGGATTTTTAAGAATCTGAGTAGTCCTTCATTGTCAGAGTAAGTGGGGGCCGCTTTGGCTTCCAAACCTCAGGGTAAGTTTGTGAATATGGAACACTCTTAAGTCAAGAGATCTAAACCTCTAGAAATAGTAATACTATGGAGTAAACGACCTAAAATTGTACTTTAAGCTTCCTAGCATTGTAAAATTCCCATGAAATATCTTTGGGATCTACTAAATAGTAAGGCATGGAAAAATTACCCTCAGCTGCCCCAATTTGAATTTAAGATACTTTGGTGCTGGGAAGTAACCTGACTTGGTTTCATTGGTAACCTGCAACTAGGACTTTTCCCTAGATTTTACCAGCAGTGATCTGAAAAAGATACATGCTGGTCTCCAGAATGGCTGAGGGGCAGGTCAGGACACTGCACAGTATTCGGAGTGCTTCTAGACACAGAAAGGATCAATACACTTGGAGGTGGGGGAGAGAGCGCTTCACTCTGTAGGCCAGCTCGGATAGTTTTTTATTCCCCTCACTAGCTGACAAGGATTAAAATTCAGGTCCAGCCTAATGAGTGAACAGGAGTGGCTGCCCACAAAACCAGGCTCTGAGTTTTACCCCACTGCCGCTCATGCCGAAGTGTGCACTGAAGTCTGGCTGGCTGTGCTTATGGCAGCACCAAAAGTGGGGATTCCGTGGACCAAAAATGATGCCATAAGGGAGGCCAGAAGAGCTGCAGTGCAAGGTCCTAGATAGTGATTATACCAAAGAAATCAAGCCTCTTTGTCGTGATGCTTCTAAGGTGATAAGACTGAGCAATGACAGATGCCAAATATGAGGAGAATGCACATACATTCCGTATCAGGGTAGTCAACTGATAAAATAATCCATTGTGAAAACACCTACTTTTTTAAATAAGTCAATTTTGTGTATTTGAAAAAGAAGATGATGGAATCCTTGGGCCGATCATGTGAAGTCCCCTCATATATGTAAAGAGAAGGAACCCGTCCCTTCTGCCCTTGGCCGACTGTGGCTACTGGCCAACCTCCGGCTTGGGGACATGAGACCCACATGGTACTGAGAGCTGAGGGGTTTTTTTTTTTGAGACATCTGATAGTTTCAATAGGTGTGTTTAAAGAACTCTTGGGAGATTTCTTAACAAATTGCAATACTTTTTATAAACCTTCCTACAGAGGTGTTTACCACTCATCACCACCATTATTTAATATTTATAAGTGCCCAGAATGTACAAGGTGCTACACAGCTGTTAAACACCTCGTCTCTGCAGCTGTTTGAAATTAGAGTAGATGTTTGCATCAGCCACTGCTAGAAGCTTTCCCCACCTGGGTCACAGGGGCCTGCATTCCAGACATCCCATTAGTATTTCCTACTCCAGAGAACCTCCACATTTATTCTGGCTCCTCACCTTTACCCATCCCGCTCACCCCATGTTTTTTCTAAATCAAGAAAGTTTCAGGGACTCAAAAGAGGTCGGGAATTTTTTAACCTAGCAGAAGTACATAGTCATATATTTTGCTACAAATATTGTTGTGTAAGGAAAATCCAGTTTGCCCATAAAGTGTGTGGAAAGTATGTGTGTGTCTGCACTCATAATAACTTGAATCTTGAACCTGCCCTATGACTTCAGGGTAGCAGTTTTGAAAGATAAACCACAGTGTTTCAGGAAACTTGCTCTAAATACCACTTGGTTATCTCCTCCCTTACCAGTTTTAAAGAGTTACGTGTGAACACACAGGGTTGGGATTTTCTGTTGATTAAATGCAGGGCACTCTGGTGTGAGGTCAGGGCAGAAACCAGATGCCATCCTCGATGATGTGGATCATGGCGGTCCTCATTCCAGTCCCTCCAATTCCCCGTGGCTCGGCCCACACTCTGTATTTCAAAATCTTGATTCGCTTGCTCTTCCCTGAAGCTTCGCCTCTTTGCTCACATAATTTAGAGTCATCTAAATCTGCCAGTGAAAACCCTTCTGTCCCAGGTGGCGCCGCCCCTTGGTTTGCTGTGGTACTCCGCTGTGGCCTCTGTGGATGTGTTACTGTGTAAATAAATTCATATCGATACACTAAAGACCAGACAAGCATTTGTCCTTCCAGCGACTTCCATACTGACATGATGGGGAGGGCCTGGCCGAAGACACAGTTATGCCAGCCCCCCACTCGGGAGGCGTGCCCTTGGCTCCTCATCTGCTGCTGACCTGGATCGAATATTCTGTTCATTCTCCCTAATCTGAGAAAAGTAGGCCCGAAGAAGTGAAGGCCGCGGGTTTGCGGTGTGGCCTCGCCCCCTGGTGGTCAGTCTCTGTACAGCCTTTCTGGGCTCGTCCTGCATGTTGGAGAGACTCCGGGCTCAGGCTGACCTGAGGGGACGTCTCAGAGCCGTGGAGATAATGCGAGCAGAGGCAGGGCCTTGTCCAGCGTCACCTGCTGCAGAATTCACATGCCTTTTGCCTGTTCCCTAAGGTACAGGACAAACAGCGTCCCCACAAAGGCAGACAAGTTAATGGTAACAGGGGAGGCCGCCCGGCTTGGGCACTCAGCAGCCGGCAGTGGTAGCAGCAGCTGCCATGATTCTACGAGTAGAATGGGTGCAAGTGAAAACATCTAGACTCTAAATTTTAGACCATATTTTGGAGCTCTCAACCCCTGGCAGTGGACTGTCTGCAGCCTGGTGTTTCTTCTTCTCACTAGCAAGCACTCTAGAGATTTGTAGACGTGGTATTTAAGCAATATTCCAGAAAAGTGATTGCCAGACTCAGGTGTGCTGAGGAGGCAGAGCTCATACCGGAGCGGGCCTGAGAGCGCACTGTCTGCGTCACCTGGGCCTGGGAGGAGGGGTCAGCAGGAGAGCCTGAGAGAGAGCCTGCAGGGACGCAGGCTCTGCCTGCTGCGGTTTTCAGCGTGCTTGCCAGAGGGGAGCCCAGGGAACTGCCCGTCCTGGGTGCAAGCGCAGCCCGCCGGCTTCTAGGGGAAAGGAACTAAAGAACAGCAGGCAGGTGGCGCCGAGAGGTCACAGAGATGTAGTGTGCTAGGCTTCGGGCACTGGGTCCACCGGGCATGAGCAGCCAATATGGGGCCCAGAAAGGGTGTGGGCCTACATGGTAGGATTAGGTCAGGGAAGACAAGAGAAAACTGCAGGAAGACAAGAGAAAACTAGAGTTGGTGTTCTTCCAATGGGATCACTTGGTCCTTTGGTATGCCGGTGGAGAAATGATATTATTTCCCCTCCATCACTGCCCACATGGTATCCACTCCTGGGAATTCTGTCAGGGGGTCCTAAGCAAGACCACCTTTCTCTCTGATTCTGGGTTGTCCTGAGGCAAAGGACCACTGACGTTTGGGCAGGGCCTTTGGCTTCCACATGCCTTCAGTCTGATTTATTTCAAGAATCAGGCTCTTTCCTACCTGGAATTAACTAGCACAAGTTGTTCCGGGGGACCCGGGGCTGCTGAGGGTCACCCTCTGCTCCAGGGGCTCTTCGCCTGCCCTCTGAGACCCAGCAAATCATGCTTCCTCTGAAGTGAGCCTGTGCTCTGCAAAGGAAGGGCTTCCTTCGTGCCTTAGGAGCCGAGAGCTGTAGTCGGCTGAGCACAAGTCGTCGTGAACAGCAGCTCAAAGCAATTAAAGCTGAAACTTAAAAACTGGATTTCACACTGGGTGGGGGACAGGAGGGAGCAGGCTGCCAAGATCCAGTTCTCTCAGATTTGCAGACCTCTGGGTGGAAACAAGCTGCCTGGGCACAATCCCTGACTTCCTGGTAACCCCAGATAACTTTACATATGTGCTCTGGCACGTGTATGGAAGCAACCAGAAGGCAGAGAGCAGTGCAGGTCACCAGTCTCAGCTTGAGAATCACGGCGGGGCTGGGTGGATGCTGGATGGCTGCGGGTTCGGCATGTGGGCCTGGGGCCGCAGGAGGACAGGGCTCTGCATCTCTGTCAAGAGGGCCAAGCTCTCAGCTTTCTGTGGGTCCTTCACCTCCACCGCCTGTCAGTCTCGAGCTGGAGTCCTGGAACCTAGGGATCAGAAGTCAAAGACAGAGTGAAACTTTTTCCAAGCCTATGGCTCATCTTCCACTCTTTCTCACCTCCAAGCACCTCACCTCCCTGCACCACACTCTACCAGAGACCCACACGTGGTTAAAACTACCAGAGCCTTCCCAGATATCACCAGATGCTGGGGACAGAACCCCATCCGTGCCTGGAGTATTGGGCTCTGCAGACCTCCCTCCCTCAGCACTTGGGGCTCTGAGCTGCTCGGCGTCTGCCGTGAACTCTTCTTTCTCGACCTCCTGACCCAGAAGATCAGAGCAGCTTCCTTTCCCAAGCACCTCTGCATGTGGCGTGGGCAGCGCTCCAGAGAGCCCCCAGGCTGCAGCCAAGTGAGAGCATTAACAGCAGCAGCAGCTGGTATGCACCTACCCACCCTCTCGCGTCTTCCTCACCACCATCACGTGAGGTGGCTCCATTCTGCCCATTTTTCACTCAAATAATCAGAGCCAGGATTTGAACCGGATTTGTGTGGCTTCTAGTCTGGTGCTTTTTCTTCCACCCATATGAGGCCAGGACGCTGGGAAGACTGTAAGAACCCAGGGAGGAGCTTCCTAGGGGTGGCTGTAGAGCCTTGAAAGGGAAGAGAGAGACCTTCTCTGTGTGTCCTTTCATTCCTTAAGTACCATGTGCTGGGACCCCAACAGTGGGCAAAGCCAGCAGGAGCTCTGCCCACCTCTGATAGGGAGAGGGTAAAGTGGGGTGCCAACTGGAAGGGGAGCAACGGGCAAGCAAGCGTACATGCCCATTGCTATGTGTCTGGGGAACAGTTTGGAGGAATGAGTCCAGCGTCTGGAATGAAATGTCTTCCCTGGAAACCAGTGGCCCATCTGCTGGGCCAGACAAACATCCTACAAACAAAGGCACGGGCCTCGGGAAGCTACTCGGAGCCCCAGGGATGCTGTGCAGCCCTGCGCATGCTGGGCCCGCAGCACCAGGCAGAGCCAGGCAGGCCGGTGTCTCTCAGCACCTCCTGGGCCGGCAGAACCACCTCTGCCTCCAGGAAGCCAGAAACCTGGTCTGGAAGGACCTTAAGCAAATTCCTTATTCTCTATGAACTCCACTCTCCTGCAGAATGGGGCCTCATCTGCCACCCCCTCCTAGACGGGGAGATGGGAGGGTGGAGCAGTGCGGTAACATGTGTGCGAAGGTTTTAGTCTGACTTGGTAAAAAGCAGAGCACGTCTGAGGCAGGCAGAGGACGCTGCGGACAGAGAAGAATGCTTTGCACGTTCAGACGGAACTGCTCAGAGATGCCGCAGTACGAGACGTTTGGCCTCCGTAGGAAAGGGATGGGGTTTGAGGGGCAAACCCTTCTGGCCCCACCTCCAGCATCTACACCCCTGATTTTTCCACTCTTTTGACCTCCGTCCAACTTCAGGCAAGTTCATCGCGCCTACAGAGTAAGATCCTAGGCTGAGTCCCTCCTCAGAATGCCTGTGTCCCCGCGGGGCACGGTCCTCAGCAGTCGCAGGCACGCAGCCCTGGGGAGGGGTGCTGGTGGGTGCACTGGAGAACTGAGGCAGCGCCTGCCAGGACCAAGGAGTCCGCCTTCTCCAGAGAGCCAGCCCAGGGGGTCTTCTCACGATCAGCTTAAATTTTATCTTCACAACAGTCCTGTGAGGTAAGTTCTAGAATTATCCCCATTGTACCAATGAGAAAACCAGAAGAAACCAAAGAGTTTCCTTCCATCTGCCCCAAATCCCTAGAGAGGGGACCAGGGTCGGCCGCAGACCGTCTGCTCCTGCTCCCAGGTCCCTGGCACTCCAGGCCTCCCTCCCCTCCCCGCTGCTGCCCCCGTCAGTC